ACTAACGTCTTGCCAGGAAGCTTTCTGAAGTTTGTGTAGTTTGTGGTAGCTTGTGGTAATTAGACGGACCGCTCCAGGAAACTGGGGATAGGGATAGTAGCATACTGAGGCTAAATGGCTATAGAGGTTTTCACTTATATGCTGATGGAGGAACTAGGGGGGTCTCATGTTATGTCAAAAGTACCATACCTGCCGAGATAACTGGAATCCCTCAGAGATATAGAGGTATTGAAAGTATTAGCTTGCGGATACAATTAAAGGACAGAGAGTTAAATTTCATTAATCTATACATCTCTGATAGCTCCCTTGATTTACGATACTTGCCAGATTCCTTCTTTTCTGAAGATACACTTGTGGTAGGGGATTTTAATGCCAGACATCCAGCTTTAGGATCAAGGGGTAAAGCAAATAGGAATGGTTGCAGATGGTACCAGTTTTTGCAGGAACATGAAGATGTTCAACTGCTGGGCGAGCACTCTCCTACTCATTTGAGGGGAGGTAGATTAGATTATGCTTGTTTAATAAATGCTGAGGGCATAGAGGGGAATTGTCTTACTGTGGATGAAATGCTAAGTGATCATTTTGCATTACAAATACAGCTTAAACTAGATAAAAAGCATGCCTGCCTTCAGAGGAAAAGGTTAAAGTTTAATGAGGGAGAATTAAGGGGTCTTGTTGGCCATATTAAGTCTTGGTATGATACTTATAAGCCGGTTTCGGCAGAAGCATTTTATGAAGATTTAATTAAGGAGGTAGGTGTATTTAATGCAACATTGAACCGGAAACCATCTAGTATAAAAAGGCATCCCCCCCAGAAAAGAAAATTATACACATGACAAGATGCTTAAGGGGTGGACATTAACAATGAGGAGAGCTCACAGGGATTGGAATAGGAATGGTAGGACTGAGGAAGGGAAGAATGCTTTACTGGCAGTTGCTAGGCTGTGTGGGGAGAAGAGAAAGGAAATTAGGGGCAAGTATTGGCAGGAATTTGCAGAGAAAGTTGGGAGTAATGTGACATCTCATGTCTCATAAAAGACATCTCATTCATTCATCCACACATTCTCTTGTGTCAACTACATTTACAAAACCCTGTTCTTAAATGCAAACCATGCTCTGAAACTCTCCCTGGACAGATGTAATAGGACCCATTATCACCACCAGAAATAAATATCTCTATGATATCTCCAGGGTCAAACTTAATCTGTGTAAACACTCTATGCAAATTAAGGGACCTAGTCTATGGAACTCACTCCCTAGTGAATTGAAAAACTGTAAAACTTTTGCCTTATTTAAAAGCAAAACCAAAAAGTACCTAATTTCATCTTCTTAGTTTCCTACACTGAGCTTTAAATTTGCTCTGTACCTAGTGTTACCCAATCTCCTAATTTTTATGTATTTAACCCAAACAACCTTATCATTGTGTTCATTGCTCTCTTATGTGCTAGCCATATGCTGTATTGTGCCTACCAATTTTTGTCAACTACCATTCAAGTTGTCATTGCAATCAATCTTAGCTACCTATGTGCTTTAATATACCTACAATTTTCTCTCATCTTTTTTTTCTTGCCATGTAACTGTTATAATTTTTTTTTATAAATATATTTTTTTATAAGTCGACTCAACGGCTTGCTGACTCCTTATGTCCCTTGCAACTTCAGCCTGAAGTCTCCAAAGGAATTTGTTGACTTACTGCGGGGAACACGGGCCACAGGGATAAGAGCCTCGTTGGACGTAGAATCACTGTTTACCAACGGACCTGTGGATGAAACAATCAGGATGATAGCGGACAGAGTGTATCGTGATCCGGCCTGTACTCCTCTTGACATACCAGAAAACATTCTAAGGAAACTACTCCAAGCTTGTACTAAAGAGGCACCCTTCTTGAGCCCGGATGGGCACATGTATAAGCAAGTAGATGGGGTCGCCATGGGTTCTCCCCTAGGTGTCCTGTTTGCGAACTTCTACATGGGTACCATCGAACAAAAGGTCTTAGTCGACATGAACTTGAAACTGGCCATATACTGCAGGTATGTTGACGACATTTTTACACAGGTACCTGATGTCAGACATCTGCAGGAGCTGAAGGAGGCATTTGAGCAGAATTCTGTGTTGCGTTTCACTTACGAGATGGAGAAGGTTGGGAAGCTGCCCTTTCTAGATGTAACAGTCATGGAAAGGAGCGGAGGTTTCCACACTGCAGTCTACACTAAGGAAACAAACATAGGAATGTGCCTCAATGCCAACAGTGACTGCCCAGACAGGTACAAGAGGAGTGTCGTTAACGCTTATGTCGACCGTGCTCTCAGCCACAGCTCAGGATGGAAGCAAGTCGATAAAGAACTCTGTAGGGTAAGGCAGGCCCTAGTCAACAACGGCTTCTCCAATGGTTACGTTGAAGACATCATAAGAAGGAAGGTGAAACGCCATGCAACCTCTGAAGAGACAACTAACACAACACCTGTACCCCCTATTAGACTATTTTACAGGAACTTCTTTTCCACATCTAATAAAACGGAGGAAAGGGTCCTGAAAGATATTAATAGAAACGTTATCCCCACAGACAAAAATCAGAAGATACAACTGACGATTTACTATAAAACCAAGAAAACGGCCAACCTACTCATGAGAAACTCTCCAGACACAAAGCAGAACGCTTTAAAGAGAGACCAATGTCGTCTATGCCTTCAAATGCCCACTTGGGGACTGTAAGCCTCAAAGAATTCAGTATATAGGCAAGACAACAACATCTCTTTCCAGGCGATTAACGATGCATAAGCAACAGGGCTCCATTAAGGAACATAATCTCTTCCCATAACCAGACCATCACCAGAGAAGTCTTAACAAAAAACACGGAAATCATCGATAAATACAGCGATAGCAGGCGGCTAGATATCTGCAAGGTACTACACATTAAGAAGTCGACACCAGCAATCAACAGCCAATTAATGCACAACTATATTTTACCCACTTCAAGACTCTGCACCAATATAGAAGCATCAAGAAATATGGGCCAATAGGCCCATTGCAGTTACTTCCATTCTTCCCCTTAACTTACAAAATATTATACCCATTGTTTCGTGTTCTGTCTTGTCTTGAAAGTTTGTTTTCACCTCATCCAAAACTGTTGTAACATATCACCTCACCCAAATGCAGGTATAAAATCGAAGCTGTTTTAAACCCTGTTCAGTTATAGTTGTGTGTGTGTAAACTAAAGTCTTTGAAAATGTAATAAGTTTTACGAAACGCGTTCAAGTGTCGCGTTAGACTAGAAATAAAAATGAACTTTGGAGAATTGATTTTTCAGTTACCATCAACAATGAAAAGAAATGTAAGAAACATTGAGAAAATTCGTGTTAGAGTTATTAATCATACTTTTTCGGTCATATTTAATTATATATATAATATATATATATATATAAATAAATATATATATATATATAATATATATATATATATATATATATATATATATATATATATATATATATATATATATATATATATATATATATATATATATATATATATATATTATATATATATATATATATATATATATATATATATATATATATATATATATATATATATATATATATATATATATATATATATATATATATATGTCGTACCTAGTAGCCAGAATGCACTTCTCAGCCAACTATGCAAGGCCAGATTTGCCTAATAAGCCAAGTTTTCCTGAATAAATATATTTTCTCTATTTTTTTTCTTATGAAATGATAAAGCTACCCATTTCATTATGTATGAAGTCAATTTTTTTTGAGTTAAAATTAACGTAGATATATGACTGAACCTAACCAACCCTACCTAACCTAACCTATCATTATAAGTTAGGTTAGGTTAGGTAGCCGAAAATGTTAGGTTAGGTTAGGTTAGGTAGGTTAGGTAGTCGAAAAACAATTAATTCATAAAAACTTGGCTTATTTGGCAAATCGGGCCTTGCATAGTAGGCTGAGAAGTGCGTTCTGGCTACTAGGTACGACATATATATATATATATATATATATATATATATATATATATATATATATATATATATATATATATATATATATATATATATATATGTTGTACCTAGTAGCCAGAACGTCGTACTCGGCCTACTACGCAAGGCCCGATTTGCCTAATAAGCTAAGTTTTCCTGAATTAATATATTTTCTCTAATTTTTTCTTATGAAATGATAAAGCTACCCATTTCATTATGTATGAGGTCAATTTTTTTTTATTGGAGTTAAAATTAACGTAGATATATATGACCGAACCTAACCAACCCTACCTAACCTATCCTAACCTATCTTAATAGGTTAGGTTAGGTTAGGTGGCCGAAAAAGTTAGGTTAGGTTAGGTAGGTTAGGTAGTCGAAAAACAATTAATTCATGAAAACTTGGCTTATTAGGCAAATCGGGCCTTCCATAGTAGGCTGAGAAGTGCGTTCTGGCTACTAGGTACGACATATATATATATATATATATATATATATATATATATATATATATATATATATATATATATATATATATATATATATATATATATATATATATATATATATATTATATATATATATATATATTTATATATATATATATATATTTATATATATATTATATATATTTATATATATATTATATATATTTATATATATATTATATTTATATATATATATATATATATATTTATATATATATTATATATTTATATATATATATATATTATATATTTATATATATATATATATATATATATATATATATATATATATATATATATATATATATATATATATATATATATATATATATATATATATATATATATATATATATATATATATATATATATATCCATCCATATCCATGTACACAAAAACATATCAATCATTTTTTTATATCACAAATGATTCAATCATAATAAGGGAGTTGTTTTGACACGGTAAAAACACGGGAGTTGTTTTGATAACTCAATGTAAACAAACCACCTTTGGGGCTGTTGACGTGGGCGGCGCTCTGGACGCTGAAACACTGTCATATATCTCATTATTCACTCAGTAGAGGGTTGACGGGGGTACACCATGCTCTGTTTTCAGAAGACTGGGAGTATGAATTACAGAGGAGAATGAAATAAGAGCAGAATTATATATGTCCTTCACTGAGGCTGGGCCATCAGTGCCAGTGTGCTGGGAGCCTGGGAGGTATTAATTATTGTGCCACGTATATACTGTATGGCCTACATATATATATATATATATATATATATATATATATATATATATATATATATATATATATATATATATATATATATATATAATATAATATACTTATGTATATATATTTATATACTTATGTATTGTGCTGTTTTAATGCATTAATTGCTCCTCTTTCCCTAGGCGACATGCATGGGCTAATGTTCACACAACATAATTGATCAATTCTCTTAGGCATAGGCAGCTGAGGAGCCTGACAGCGGAGTGGACAGTACTTTGGATTCGTAGTCCTGAGGTCTCAAGGTTAGGTGGAGGCAGAAACAAATGGGCAATGTTTCTTTCACCCTAATACCCCTGTTACCTAGCAGTAAATAGGTACCTGGGAGTTAAGACGGCTGCAATGGGCTGCTTCCTGGGGGTGTGTAACGAAAAGGAGGCCTGGTCGAGGACCGGCACGCTAAGCGATAACCTCAAAATAGGCATACCTTGACCCCATAATTGACTTCTCGTTTATAGACCTACATAATTATTCCAATCTCAATTACGGCACTAATATGGGTCACACATTTCTTTTTTCCACTTGCATCTTGAAAGTTGAGCTAATTTGCCTGAAGGTTATTCCGGTAAATTCTGCCACAGCCAATACAATATAGGCAACATGCAAAAAACATGAAAATGTGGCAACTTTGGTGGTCATGTCAAAAATTGTCCAGTTTCATTTTGGTGACTACTGTATGTTGTGTTTGCTCTGCAATGGTATGGATATGATAAGTGAATATAGATGCTTTCTTCATGATTATACCACCTTATCAATGGAAATGGAAAAAAACACCCATTTGTTTGAATGTCAACACTGAGGTGTCAAATCACTTGGCATTTACCAAAACCTTAACACAACCAGTTTTTTGTTAATACTGTATATCATTGTGTTTTGAATGGACAGGATCTATTTCAGTATCATTTTATAGAACATCATAATCTCTCATTTCATACCATAACTTAAAAAAACTTATATTTTTTTTTATCTTGTATTTATTTGTATTTTGTATTATCTACCAAGACCACAGTAACTTTTTGAAGTGTCCAAAGCCAGGTAACTTTACTCTCTCCCAGTTGCAGGAAGATGCAAGACAAGAAATATGAACTACAGTACTGTACAGAATTTAAGGATTTTGCAATAATCTGCTGTGACATGTTTATTGGTAAAATATATGCTATTGTAGCAGAAAGCAGAAAATAGTACAGAGATGAGTTTTAAAGCAATAATTGCTTATCAGAATGTAATAATTATTTTATTGCATCTATGCTTTCTGGTAGGATTTTTCTTGTTTTTAGGCTGCTATTTGATCTCCAGGCTTCCCTCGCCTCATGGTATAGTGGTAAAACACACCACGTTTGTGAGCAATTTGGTCTAGGTTCGAGTCCTGACTAAATAGGATGGACCAGGCACTAATCTTTAACTGGGCCGTTTACGTATACATTTGTGTACGTAATTGCTAATTTTTTCTGCTGCTAGGTGGTTAAATCATAATTCATTAGGACAATTTAATCAAATTTATAAACTTAATCATGTTTTATCTCAAATTGAATTATTTTTCAGGTTGGAAGGAAAGATGGCTGGCTATGGGACTCCTGTAGGTGAAAGATGTCGCTTTTGTGGCCTTGATCTTCCCCCTGATGCAGTAACAGTCATGGCACATATCAGTACTCATTGGAGGCAGTTCAACTTAGAGTCCTTGAGTCCTTGTGCTTTTGAGCCGCAGCTGGATATTCGAGTTGGTAACACTCCCCTTAATCCTGAAGACATAGAGGTTTCATCTCACATGGAGCAAGGTTTTCAGTATTCATACTCTCCACAGACAGAGCCCTCAAATTTAACAATTAATGGTGCAAGATGCTCTCCATTAAATTTAACAGGACGTTCCAAATCGTCTTCTCCATTATCATCGCCTCTACCTCATGCACCTTCTATTCCTCCTCCACCGCCTCCTATTCTTAATCATCAGCCATCACTTGGATGCCAACTTGTTCTGCCTCCTTCACATCCCCATCATCCATCATTTTCTATTGGGATGTTAGGGACTCCTCAGATAACACATCAAATTCCACCAGTGCATGTCACCCAGACTCTGGATATAGATGCAAATGTTGAGTCTCATGATGATCAAAATGGGTTATTAAAGCGAAAAAGACGACTTGACCGCTTCATGGAAATGAGATGCCATGTCTGTGGCCGGACATTTTTCACCAAATCATCTTTTGATGAGCACATGGACAGTCATATTAAAGATAATAATGCTTACATCATGAGTGATCAGATGGATGGTGGACATATAGTGTCAAATGTCATGTCTTGTTCCATGCCAGACAAGCCATACAAATGTGCAGTGTGTGATAGAGAGTTTACTTATAAAGAAGAGCTGCTTGAACACGCAGACAGTCATGAAGCAGCTAAACCATACAAGTGTGATATATGTGGTGCCGGCCTCTCTCATATCAGTGCTCTGCGACGGCACAGACTTGCACATAGTGGCTATAAGCCTCATAGGTGTGAAATTTGTAGTCGAAGCTTCTTCCAGAAATGTGACCTCCAGCGGCACTACACAACCCATGGCAAGTCAAAGCAATATGAATGTGGTGCCTGTAAAAAAAAATATTCTTCCCTACACTTTCTTGAAAACCACAAGTGCAAAGCCCCAGAGGAGCCCAAACCCTTTAAGTGTAACATATGTGGTGAAGGTTGTGCCAACAACATGGCTTGGAGCTATCATATGTGGAAACATACCAAAAACCCTATCTTTGTTCCTTTCCAGGAGAAGTTCAATATTCATACAGGACAGACTGAAAGTAATTAATTCTGAGAGTTTCTGAAATAATTTGAAAATTTCAAACATTTTGAGGGAATAACTTTGCATTCATGGCAATTTAATTCATGCCAGTTCTTGCTACAGCATCTGGGATGTTGGTTATAAAATATTTTCCAAACATTTAATTTTGTGGAGTCATAACTGTTGTTGATGTTTCACTAGTGCCTCATAGCAATGCCTGTATGTAACTTAAAACTCCATCTGTTCCTTCATTTTATTTTCTTATGCTTTAAGAATTATTTAAATATAATTTTGTTTTTCCCAAGATACTTGAATATTCTTACCTGTTTAATGTCTTAAAAATAAGTTAGCCAGGAAAAATGAGATGAACAAATACAGTACCAGGGAAAATGAGATGAACAAATATGGATTTAGTCTAAGAATAATTACAGAATTGTTCTAGGCTTTTGTAATGCATAAAGACATGTAAGTGGGTTAAAACCAGGCAAAGGTATCCAAAATAACTAGCTGTTAAAAATATTTGTATATTCTTGTGGTTCCATTCTAGGTAACTTACTCATGTGTATAGCCTTGCTGAAGGTCTCTCTCTCACATGACCTACATAAAGGTCTTTCTCACATGACCTATGTGAAGGTGTCTCTCTTTCTGTTTCCAAATATCTATCATTTCACTTCTTCCAATTTTAAATTTACATTACTGACATTTCACTAATTGTTCAGTTTTACTCATTTTTAATTTCACTTTTTCTTTATATTTTACTTAGCTGCTTATTTTCTGTGGCACTAATATATATATTTGAGATCCATGTTAATACTGGGTCAATTTCTTGTCGTGCAGTGGTGTACATCTTTGGCTCACAAAAGAGGATCCCGGGTGCGGTCTTTGGATGGGACAGACACAATTGGGCACATTTCCTTTCACCTCATGCCTTTTGTTCACCTAACAATAAATAAATACCCAGGAGTTAGGCAACTGGTGTGGATTATATCCTGCAGAACATCATCAGTAGTTGTGGGTTAAGTCGTAGTGGGCTGAAGAAGTTACATGATTTCAGTAGCAATGAGGATAGGTGCCACACGGGAATCACTTTGTTGATTTATTTTCATTGTTTCTCGCTTTTTTTTTTATAGTTTTTGTCCTAACAAGCTGTACTGATATGTCAAAGATGGGGTTCATTAGGTATAACTTTTAAAGTAAAAGTATGTTCAAATATGTGTATAAATATACATCATGTATTTATTCATGCTACTATATTATATATATATATATATACAGTGGCACCTCGACATACAATTGCCCCTACTTATGATAATTTCGAGTTACGATGTAAATTTCATTGAAAAATGCAACTCGACATCCGATATATTTGAATGGTACACGTTCGTGTCGACCGAGCGCGTGGTTCCCGGTCACGCGGCCAACCTGCCTCAGTTTACTACAGCTGCCCGCTTAGTGACGATCGCGCCTATAAGAAATTCTGCTTTTGTGGCGATTTTTTGCATTTTGAACATTAAAGAAATTATTATATATCACGCCATGAGTCCCAGGAAAGTCAGTGGCAAGGCTCAACATATGAAAACCCATGTAAGGATGACCATAGAGCAGAAACAAAAGTACAGAATGTCTCTTCCTCAACAATTAAGAAAATGTGTGCAGTATGGGAAGAATTGCAAACCTTTGCTGAAATGACTCGCCCAAATCAAGCTGCAGTAGGTTGTAGCCTTAACCTATTCAATGACACTGTGATGCATCATTACAGACAAATGTTAAAACGAAGGGAAAAACAAATGTCTCTTGACAAATTTGTAGTGAGACAAGCACTGAACCACAACCAGGTCCTAGTGGTATTCAGGCAAAACATAGGAGAGAGAAAACATCACTGCCTGATGTGATAATGGAAGGGGATTCTCCTTCCAAACAGTAACAACTCTCCTCCTCCCCCCTCATCACCATCTTCTATATGCCATCAAGAGCTCTTCATAACGGTAAGAGAAACTTTGGTACTGTATTGTAGTTAGAAAAAAACATTGTATTCAGTATAAAATGTATTTGTATGTTAATATTTTGGAGGGTGGGGACCGGATTAATTCAATTCCCTTTATTTCTTATGGGAAAAATCGCTTCGACTTACGATCCGTCTATGGGAACGGATTAGCATCGGAAGTCGAGATATATATATACAGTATACTGTATATATATATATATATATATATATATATATATATATATATATATATATATATATGTCGTACCTAGTAGCCAGAACGCACTTCTCGGCCTACTATGCAAGGCCCGATTTGCCTAATAGGCCGAGTGATTTTCGTTTTCAATAAATTGTTTCCAATTAGTTTATTTGAATTATTATTATTATATTATATTAAGAACATAAATTGTTGACTTAATTGTGTTAGTTTAGGTTAGGTTAAGATAGGTTAGGGTAGGTTAGGTAGGGTTGGTTATGTTCGGTCATATAACAAAGTTAGTTTTAACTCAAATTTAAAAACAATTAACTCATACATATTGAAATGGATAGCTATATCATTTCATAAGAAAAAATATTGAAAAATTTATAAATTCAGGAAAACTTGGCTTATTAGACAAATCGGGCCTGCATAGTAGGCAGAGTATGACGTTCTGTCTACTAGGTACAACATACATACATACATATATATATATATATATATATATATATATATATATATATGTCGTACCTAGTAGCCAGAACTCACTTCTCAGCCTACTATTCAAGGCCCGATTTGCCTAATAAGCCAAGTTTTCCTGAATTAATATATTTACTATAATTTTTTTCTTATGAAATGATAAAGCAACCCTTTTCTCTATGTATGAGGTCAATTTTTTTTTATTGGAGTTAAAATTAACGTAGATATATGACCGAACCTAACCAACCCTACCTAACCTAACCTAACCTATATTTATATGTAAGGTTAGGTTAGGTAGCCAAAAAAAGCTAGGTTAGGTTAGGTTAGGTAGGTTAGGTAGACGAAAAAACATTAATTCATGAAAACTTGTCTTATTAGGCAAATCGGGCCTTGAATAGTAGGCTGAGAAGTGCGTTCTGGCTATTAGGTACGACATATATATATATATATATATATATATATATATGTCGTACCTAGTAGCCAGAACTCACTTCTCAGCCTACTATTCAAGGCCTGATTTGCCTAATAAGCCAAGTTTTCCTGAATTAATATATTTACTATAATTTTTTTCTTATGAAATGATAAAGCAACCCTTTTCTCTATGTATGAGGTCAATTTTTTTTTATTGGAGTTAAAATTAACGTAGATATATGACCGAACCTAACCAACCCTACCTAACCTAACCTAACCTATATTTATAGGTAAGGTTAGGTTAGGTAGCCAAAAAAAGCTAGGTTAGGTTAGGTTAGGTAGGTTAGGTAGACGAAAAAACATTAATTCATGGAAACTTGGCTTATTAGGCAAATCGGGCCTTGAATAGTAGGCTGAGAAGTGCGTTCTGGCTATTAGGTACGACATATATATATATATATATATATATATATATATATATATATATATATATATATATATATATATATATATATATATATATATATATATATATATATATATATATATATATATATAATCTTTGGACAACACCCACCAGTGGGACTCGAACCCAGAAAGCACAACTACCTTCCAGTAGCTGCCATAACTAGTATGCTTTAACCCACTTGATTTGATGTCAATTTTTTTTTATTGAAGTTAAAATTAACGTAGATAAATGACCGAACCTAACCAACCTTACCTAACCTAACCTATCTTTATAGGTTAGGTTAGGTTGGGTAGCCGAAAAAGTTAGGTTAGGTAGTCGAAAAACAATTATTTCATGAAAACTTGGCTTATTAGGCAAATCGGGCCTTGCATAGTAGGCAGAGAAGTGCATTCTGGCTACTAGGTACGACATATATATATATATATATATATATATATATATATATATATATATATATATATATATATATATATATATATATAATATATATATAAAATAATAATAATTATTTATATCGTGAATATGCACAGCAGAACATTGTCTCCTCAGTCTTTAAGGTCAGGGATGACTAGTTTTGATTTTAATATATAGATATTTTGATATCTAGGCACAGTTTAGCACACGTAATATCAGTAACAGGATGTGAATAATTAATAAATGTTTGACCTATTATATTGTCATTATATACTGAGTATGCTGAGTTTAGATAATATTATCTATAACTTGTTAGGAATACTGATGTTTTAACAAGCGTCAACTGCTTGCAGGACTGAACACTAAGCATGGACCATTTATTATGGTAGCTAGGTACAAAAAGCTTATTGTAGTCTAGATAAAGTATAGTGTTGTATTTGCTAGGTTGAGTTTAGTGTATGTGTGCTATTGGCTAGACAGGAATTTTGAATGAACTGTCAGCTGTATGACATTAATTTGCTTTTGTATTTTTGTCTGGTTTCTCATTGTTGAACATTATGTGCTGAAGTACAAATTAAATTATTTATAATTTGTGCATATATACATGTTATATACAGTATGTATATGCATTGAAATTACTTAAGGTTTCTAGTTCAGAAGTACTATTATGTCATTTTCTCAAGATGATTCCTATTTATTGTGAATATATTTAATTATGGATTATTTTTTACTGTAATAATTTGTACATTCCAGAATAATAATAATATTAATATATGATTTTTGACATGGTATTAAACCAATGCAGTACTTAATTTCTTTTATTAAGCATATTATATAGTGATAATATGGTTGTGATCCAAGTACTGGTATTTTATGAATTGTCATTTTATGAAACTTGAAATATTATTTGCTTTAATGTAATAACTTAAGTTTGCAGAAAATAAGTCACAATAATGTGGCTAAAAGTGAATATCCAACCCACACATACGAAAAGGAGGACAGAGCAAAAGTCATCATATTCCTTCTTTTCATCTGTGAGGGTTGGGTGCTAGCACGAGTTTATAATTCTAGATGCATTTGTTTCTCAGTATCGTTAAGAGGCACCAATGATGATGATTCCAGTGACCATGAATGTAATGAATGATAGTTTGGGGCCCAAGGTTAAAGCTTCTTAAATTGTAACTGCTGAATAAGCTTGCTGTTTAACTCTTAAACTGCTAATCTATTTAAAATTGCTACATAAGGATTGATCTCATAAGGATTTGAGCACTGGAGGAAATAACCGATAGTAATTAGAGCAGTCTAAGGGTTCAACATTATAAATTTATCAACATGAATTAAAAAATGTAGTGTACTGATGTTGCGATGTTACACCAGATGCTAATGTCACAATACTGTATTCAGCAGAGTGCAACACTCAATATTGTCAACAAAACAAGTAGTAAACAATTTGTATTCAATCTTTTAAGGTTGTTTAATAACTTGCTTCTCTTTGCAACTTATTCAAGTATATTTATGTATCATGTGAATTGGTTCGGTTGTGCATTTGAATAAATATTTAGCAGTGTAATGCTTTTAAAAATATTTATATTGTCAATAATATGAAAATACTGTATATTTTAAATTGGGGGCTTTAGTACTGGTATTTATTCTAATAATTTTCTAGTCTTTCTATTTGTGCATTGTAATTTATACACTGAAATTTATATTGAGTTTTATGTGTGAAATTTAGCTTTAGTGAACCATTGTGAATTTAATGAATGCATATAAATGCAGCTCATTCACTGCTAATTTGCACAGATAAAATTGTAAATCTATTATATAACACTTGAGAATATATATTGTAAAATTCATAAAATAAATTGTTTTTTTTATTAACTTTAATTTAAAATACTTCCTGTTTTAATATAAACAAAAAATTGACAGCTTTTGCCTATAATATTGTGGTATAGAGGCTCAGTACCGATTACAAAATTTTGTAGTTTACATCAAATTGTTTAAAATATATTCAGCCATTGTTAAATTTTAATACTTACTGTACTGTGCTTGTTCCAATTTTCACACAAAGTATGAGTTGACTACCTGAAATGTACCTGGGGCATACCTGGAATGGGTTGTGCGAGTTATTCTACTCCACAAGCCCAGCCTGAGGCCAGCCTAGACTTGTGATAACTTGGTCCAACAGGCTGTTGCTTGGAGTGGCCTGCAGGCCCACATATCCACCACAACCTGGTGGGTCAGACACTTGTTGCAGGAACTTGTTTAATTCTTTCTTGAACATGTCCATTTTTGATCCAGTAATATTTCTTAAGTTTGTTGGTAGGATATTGAATAGCAGTGGGCCTCTAATGTTCATACAGTGTTCCCCCGATTGTTCCTACGGCACCTTTACTTTTCACTGGCTCTCTCCTGCATTTTCTACCATATCATTTGCCTCATTACAGTATGTTATTATTGGACTGTGCAAATTTGGGACCTTGCTTTCTAGTATCTTCTGTGTATATATTGCAATCCATCCTCCTGTTTAGATATTACCTATTGTGATGATCGTCAATAGTCACAAATTCGTATATATTGTCACTTTTAGATACAGTAGTTGTATACTGACTAATAAAGAATTCTTTTAAAATAAATGAAGCTAAAACACAATCTTAAATATTTCTAGTATATAATATAATATATAATATAGCACACATACGTATGTACTATATTAGGCCTCAGATATCGTATATTATACCTAGGGAGGTTAGTTTAGTTGTCAAAGTAACACAAAAAATTGTTTTCCGGTTTGTCCAACTCAACTGTTCAGATTTCTACTTTCTAATTTCGTTGTACGTTGTAAATATACAGTACTGTGGTCCTCGTCGTTACTATAAGTATTACCAAAACGGGAGGCTGGGCTGTATTGTGGTATCTATTTCATCTCCTTTCTAGAGAGTACATTTTGAGAGCTTTGAGATAATCCCAAAAATTAAAGACCTTTATTGTGTCTGTGTGTGCCATATATAAATATATTGAACGTGTGAAAATTATCATTCACTGATGATTGATGAGAATGGTTCAGTTCTCCCAGTCTAGTTCAAAGCTGGGAGTCATGTAATATAGTGGTCTATTTCTTAAACTCGCAACCAAGGATCTCAGGGTTTGATCCCCAGGAGGGACAGAAATGGTGGTCACATTTCCTTTCATCTGATGAACCTGTTCACTTAATTAACAGTAAATAGGTACCTGCAGGAGTTATGCAACTGTTGTGGGTTGCATCCTGAGAAAGGTCAGTCATTGACCTAGAGGGGACCTTCGTAAGGTTAAGTGCAGGTTTTCTGTCCTGAAGGATATGGACATTATATACAGGTTACCGACAAATTCTTTTTCCAGTATTTTTACAGTGACCATTTATGGTTTTTCATGGTTTGTTTATTGTTATGCTTAAGGTCATTCCATACTTTAATTTGTGTTCATGAGAATACAGCTAAGTTATATTCAATAGATAAAAAATTAAACAAATAAAAATATATTCTAAATTTAATTGGAAACTGAAGCACCCTTAATTTGTGCATTTAAATTTGGATGATGATTCTCAAATCTTTCTTTATGGTTTTCCTCCAGAAAATTAGTATTAATGATTGGGAACTAGTTTATGGGTATTTGCTTATAATGAACAAATGATGACGGTAGTAAGAGGGATGATGAATATGTTGTAGAGGAGTCGCAAACCTAATCTGTTTTTACCTATTTACCTTCATCGCCCCTAAATCAACACAACCTATTTACCTGAGGGGCAACTATATCTCTCTAGTGGCCTTTGACGAGGACAGGAAGCTGGCAACTTGTCAAAGGTACCCTTATTTGTCCTGATGATTTTATCCAGCTGGATTTTGAAATTCAGCAGTGATTTGACATTTACGGCTTCGGCGGGTAGGTGGTTCCATGGGTTTTTAACCCCATGGGTGAAGAAGCATCTCCTGTTTTCTGTCCTACATTGTAGCTTTAAACTGTTGCTCCTTATTTGTTTTACATCTGACCTTTTGAAGTTGTCTGGATCAATGTCCTTCAATTTATTCAGTATTTTAAGTTTTGATGAGATGAGCCCTGTCATGTCTGGTTTGTAGTGCTGTTAGCCTTGTGGCGCTCAATCATGGGAATCTACTTAGTTCAGGAATCTGAGAGTTTCCACGACTCTCCACACTTAAGAAGCTACAAGAAAAAGTCTTGGGTGGTCAATTTTTAACCAAATGATTATCTTATATTATTCCGACATTGTTTACATCGTTGTTCAACCTACCTTGCTGACGTAAACAACTGGTCAAGATACTCGCTGCCGTGGTTACCAGAGGTAGAGCTGTATGGCGTACAGTACTTACCTAACAGTCTGGTTCATTCTCGACGCACGATCGAGAATTCCGGGTTCGAATCCCGTCCCCCTCTCCCCAAGGTCGAACTACTGACCTTCACCATTCAGCCCCACAACAGTTGTCTAACTCCCGGGTACCTATTAACTGCTAAGTGAACAGAGGCATTAGGTGAAGGAAAAATCTGATAGTTTTCTCTAGGTTTAGTTTAGTTCATTTATTATGCATCCCCCATCCTGTGGTTGAGAGCGGAAAAGAGTTACATAGGCACATAATAATAGGCTCTCACTGAGCCCACATAATAATAGGCTCTCACTGAGCCCACATAATAATAGGCTCTCACTGAGCCCCCATAATAATAGGCTCTCACTGAGCCCACATAATAATAGGCTCTCACTGAGCCCCCAAATTAATTTAGCTAAACAAATTCCCTGTCTTTATAAGCTAGTTACAAAATGATATTTATATTTGTATATGAACAATTATAGTGGGTTCAAGAGCGACCACAAGTACAGTCTAAGCTAAGCAACTTACATATGTGGTGAGAGTGTACTTACCTAGTTGTGTTTGCGGGGGTTGAGTTCTGGCTCTTTGATCCCGCCTCTCAACTGTCAATCAATTGATGGAGTGTGATATGTTTATCCTACACACCGCCCCACTTACAGTGGACAACGGTGGAAAGGTTACAAACACCCTTATTACTACCTACAGTTAGCAAACTGGGGGTTAGTTTGCTAAAATATCTGGTAGTAGGTCATTTTGAATGAAATATTTACACATTTCTGTCTAAATTTCCGTATCTTTCCGCACTCTATATATTGACGGAGGACCTGCCAGAAACGCTATGCGTGTTAGCGGCTGTGCAAGAATGTAAAAATACCAATCTTATGTAATCTCACATGCCCATTGAACCTTTATGTAAATAAATATTATTATTATTATAATAATTTAGCTGACACAGTTTACATTTGGTCAGGTTTACATCAGCAGGTAATACAAATTCCCAGATACTTAATTATATCTAAAAAAGTATTTAAAAGATCTTTAAAAAATCTTTAAAAAGTATTTAACCTGGTTATTCGGCCCACACTACGTATGAGGCTCTTGCTCATGCCACCAAGGATGATTGATAAGACAAACAGGCGCCTAACCCTCAAACTGACGTTCGAGACACCAGCCGCCGGCTTTCTGTCCCCCATGGAGGCCACTAAAGATGGTTCCATTCACCTGGGCTCTAAGAGACCCGAACCGCGTACCCCCAAGTAAATATATGAAGCATCAGTTAGGCAATTAACAATTCCTTGCTTGGCAGATCAGTTGCTTGGCGGCCTGCGTGCCTCTCGTAGCCTGCACGGATCTTGGCCAAGTAAGAGTCAACACAAGGAACAAGCAGAGGAATCTTGAACAGCAGCGTGAGGAAGCACAGAGGCACCATGATCTGCCGGATATGGTAGAACGGTGCAGCTAAGTAACATTTTCCAGGGAAGGTAAAGGTTATTATATAGATTATACAATGTAGCCTAAAGTAACTGAATACCACAATTGAATACCATTAATGGCTGAGCCAAGGCGCAAGTACATAATAGTCCTATATATAATTATTGTATTCATTACCTGTTTAATGGATCTAGCATTATCAACTATCAAGACTTACAATTATATTCAAATTATAATTTATAATTAATGAATTTATATTTCTTATTATAATTTTCCAAATCCAAATGAATTTACCTGAGGGGCCACTAACACACTTGTGGCCTGGACTGGGACAGGAAGCCGGCGGCTTATTAAACGTTCTCCCATCTGTCCTGATGATATTTTTTTAAGCTGGATTTTAAACTTCATGGCAAAGTTCATCCACAAAGCATGAAAGTTACAATGAAATAAACATGTAATGAGTAAAATATTAAGGTAATTAACTGGACCAGAACTGGCATCCATAGGCTACCCAGACACGTACCCAGCTTACTGGGGGAGTCCGCCAGTTCGATCCCCTATTACATGACCTCAGTATTTTCTCATAGACTCGCCATCTTACTGTGATTTCGGCGTTCAATCCCCGACCGTCCACCACAAGTGGTTGGGCACCATTCCTTCCCCCCGTCCCATCCCAAATCCTTATCCTGACCCCCTTCCCAGTGCTATATAGTCGTGGTGACATTGACATTGACATTGACAACAAATTCTCTTTTATTATACTTACTGAAACATGGTTGAAAGAGGATACTACTCAGCTCTTTAACATGCCTAACTACTCAGCAATTCACAACTGTCGTCAAATTCAGAGAGGTGGTGGCACTGCTCTTTACTACCACCAAGAACTAACATGCTTAAAAGAAATTAGAACCAGAGACTGCTATGGGGAGTATATCTTCGCCAGCTTCAGAGTCAAGGGTGCCGAGTCTGTCCTGACTGTGGGTGCAGTTTATAGAATTCCTAACACTGATGTGTCCGAATTCAACTCAAACCTTAGAAATCTAATACTTGATAACAGACTGAACAAAAACCACCTAATTATCGCAGGGGACTTTAATATTGACCTCTGCGAGCCTGAACACCCCACTGCTGTTAGCTTCCTCAACTGTATGAATTCCTGCTTCCTCATACCCTTAATCACTAGACCTACTAGAATCACTGATAGCACTGCCACGACGCTCGATCACATCTGGACAAACATAACCTCTCCGCTTACTTCAGGTATAATCACCGATAGCACTACAGATCATTACCCCACATTTCTCTTAACTAACATTAGCAAACCACCTCTTGAGTCAAGAGTGATACGTTTTAGACTACACAATGAAACTGCTATAGACAATTTTATAACTGCTGCTGATAATGTCAACTGGGAGTCCGAGTTAGGTAACATAGTGGACATCAACCTAGCAGTGCAATCTTTTCTTCAAAAAACTCTTAGCCTTTATAATACCCACTGTCCTATGCTTACAAAACAAGTCACAACCAAAAGGCTTAACAATCCCTGGCTTACAAAGGGAATACTTAAATCTATTAATAAAAAACATGACCTTGAGAAGAAGTATAGGTTAGGAATTGTCTCCAAAGAATTCTCAAAGAATTACTCATTATTGCTGTCTAAGATAATTAGACGAGCCAAAACTAAATACTACGAAGATAAATTTACCCAAATAAAGAGCAACATTAAACAAACTTGGAGAACAATTTCTCAAATATTGGGATCAAAGAAGTCTTTAAATAACAAACCGACTCTCCTGTCTAATAACGATGGTCAGCTTTCAGCCTCTGATTCTGCTACTGAGTTCAATAGGTTCTTCTCTTCCATTGGTTCATCCCTTGCAAATGATATTCCATCTTCCAGTACAGACATTAATGACTATCTTTCAGGTAACTATCCACAGTCTCTGTACCTAAAGCCTATTAATTCCACTGACGTCAATGAGATAATCCTTTCCCTTAAAACCAAGTCTGGTGCCCTTGAGGAGATACCAACTTTAATTTACAAAAAAGCCTCCAGATCTTTAGCCCCTGCTATTGCATTGCTCTTCAACAAGTCACTTGAACTCCAAACCTTCCCAGATATTCTAAAAAAAGCGAGAGTAACGCCTGTCCACAAATGTGGTGATCTCACAGCTGTTAACAACTACAGACCTATATCTATCCTGCCAAACTTGTCAAAAAATTTTGAAAAACTAATCTATAAGCAGCTTTACTCATAGCTAGCCAAACTCAATATACTTAGCCCTTGCCAATATGGCTTCAGACCCAAAAAAAAGCACTAACGATGCACTTATTAGTATGCTTAACTCGATTCATACAGCTCTTGATAAAAATGAGTTCTCTGTTGGGTTGTTTGTGGACCTGCGTAAAGCTTTTGACACTGTCAACCACCAAAACCTTCTTCTTAAATTACATCATTATGGAGTCAGAGGACACTCCCTACAATACCTCAAATCCTACCTTACTGACAGGCTCCAATATGTTTCTGTGAATAATACAATTTCTCCCACCCTACCCATCAACATTGGTGTTCCCCAGGGCAGCATACTTGGCCCTCTCCTCTTTCTCATCTACATTAATGACCTTCCAAATGCCTCCCAACACCTCAAACCAATTCTATTTGCTGACGACACAACCTTCATTTACTCCAGTCCTGATCCCCTTGCTCTAAATGCCACAGTAAATACTGAGCTAAATAAAGTCCATCTGTGGCTAACTGCCAACAAACTCACCCTTAACATTGACAAAACCTTTTATATTCTGTTTGGCAATAAATCCTCTAATCAAATAAATCTCAAAATAAACAATACCCAAATTTGTAACAAATTAGATGGCAAATTCCTTGGCATTCTCATTGACCACAAGCTGAATTTCCAGGGACACATTCTAAACATATCAAAAAAAGTTTCAAAAACTGTGGGCATTCTTTTTAAGATCAGATATTATGTACCACGCCCTGCCCTGGTGACTCTCTATTACTCCCTTATCTATCCATATCTCAACTATGGTATTTGTGCTTGGGGCTCTACTACCCAAAATCACTTACGTCCTCTAATTACTCAACACAAAGCTGCTATTAGGACAATATCCAATTCTGGCCCCAGACATCACTCGGTACCCCTACTTAAATCTCTGAATATGTTAGACATTAAGTCACTGCACATTCTCTCATGTGTATTTGCTCTTCAACAAGTCACTTGAACTCCAAACCTTTCCAGATATTCTAAAAAAAGCGAGAGTAACGCCTGTCCACAAATGTGGTGATCTCACAGATGTTAACAACTACAGACCTATATCAATCCTGCCAAACTTGTCAAAAATTTTTGAAAAACTAATCTATAAGCAGCTTTACTCATATCTAGCCAAACTCAATATACTTAGCCCTTGCCAATATGGCTTCAGGCCCAAAAAAAGCACTAACGATGCACTTATTAGTATGCTTAACTCGATTCATACAGCTCTTGATCAAAATGAGTTCCCTGTTGGGTTATTTGTGGACCTGCGTAAAGCTTTCGATACTGTCAACCACCAAAACCTTCTTCTTAAATTACATCATTATGGTGTCAGAGGACATTCCCTACAATACCTTAAATCCTACCTTACTGACAGGCTCCAATGTGTTTCTGTGAATAATACAATTTCTCCCACACTACCCATCAACATTGGTGTTCCCCAGGGCAGCATACTTGGCCCTCTCCTCTTTCTCATCTACATTAATGACCTTCCAAATGCCTCCCAACACCTCAAACCAATTCTATTTGCTGATGACACAACCTTCATTTACTCCAGTCCTGATCCCCTTGCCACAGTAAATACTGAGCTTAATAAAGTCCATCTGTGGCTAACTGCCAACAAACTCACCCTTAACATTGACAAAACCTTTTATATTCTGTTTGGCAATAAATCCTCTAATCAAATAAATCTCAAAATAAACAATACCCAAATTTGTAACAAATTAGATGGCAAATTCCTTGGCATTCTCATTGACCACAAGCTGAATTTCCAGGGACACATTCTAAACATATCAAAAAAAGTTTCAAAAACTGTGGGCATTCTTTCTAAGATCAGATATTATGTACCACGCCCTGCCCTGGTGACTCTCTATTACTCCCTTATCTATCCATATCTCAACTATGGTATTTGTGCTTGGGGCTCTACTACCCAAAATCACTTACGTCCTCTAATTACTCAACACAAAGCTGCTATTAGGACAATATCCAATTCTGGCCCCAGACATCACTCGGTACCCCTACTCAAATCTCTGAATATGTTAGACATTAAGTCACTGCACATTCTCTCATGTGTATTATACATATATAAAACGCTAAACTATAATGCCAATCCTGATCTCAAAAGCTTCATAGAAGGTTGTAACAGAACCCATGAGCATCACACCAGAAATAAATACAGTTTTGATATTCCTAGAGTACGACTAAATCAAACCAGAAATGCTCTACAAATCAAGGGACCCAGAATGTGGAATGACCTTCCCAACCATGTTAAAGACAGTACCTCTCTCAACCAGTTTAAGTTAAAAACGAAGCTATACCTAATAAATTCCATGTAACCCACCTTACCCCCCTGTTGTCAACCCATGTATATTTTTTGTTTTTTTGTTTTTCAAATCAACGCTGTTTGAATGTAATTTTCTGTAATAATTTGTAATTGTATTTGTGCTGCTTTTTCAACAATGTTCCCCCCTCTTTTACCTCTATTTTTTATATGTACTCATCACATCTTTTCTTTTTACCCATTAGTTTTAAGCTGTAGTCATTAATGTTTTTCCTGCCCGAAACGCTTTGCGTAATAGTGGCTTTAGGCATTGTATGTACTAGCTCTATCTATAAAGCCAACAAACTTTGTAAATCTCTTTATGTATGTACCTTACCTAAATAAAGATTATTATTATTATTATTATTATTATTATTATTATACATGTATAAAACGCTAAACTATAATGCCAATCCTGATCTCAAAAGCTTCATAGAAGGTTGTAACAGAACCCATGAGCACCACACCAGAAATAAATACAGTTTTGATATTCCTAGAGTACGACTTAATCAAACTAGAAATGCTCTACAAATCAAGGGGCCCAGAATGTGGAATGACCTTCCCAACCATGTTAAAGACTGTACCTCTCTCAACCAGTTTAAGATAAAAACGAAGCTATACCTAATAAATTCCCTGTAACCTACCTTACCCTTCTATTGTCAACCAATGTCTGTTTTTTTCTTTAAAAAGCGCTGTTTGTCGACATAATTGTATTTGTGCTGCTTTTTCATCTATGTTTTCATTTCTTGTTTTCATTCTACTCATTATGCTCAATTAGTATTAAGCTTGTCATTTAAGTTTATCATGCCCGAAACGCTTTGCGTAATAGTGGCTTTAGGCATTGTATGTACTAGCTCTACCTATAAGTCAAACAATCCTTGTAAATATTTATTGTATGTATGTACCTTACCTAAATAAAATTGTATTGTATTGTATTGTATTGTATTGTATTGTGGTGGCTTAGTGCTGTCTCCATCAGACGACGGGAGACATCTCCCGTCACGCAGGGTGCATTCGCACCTCCACAGATCTCCAGTATCAGCTCTTGATACTGGTAATGGCTTAAAAGGGTCACCACTTACGGGCTATTCATGCCCGTGCCACCTTTTGGGTGGCTTAATCTTCATCAATCAATCTGCTGTCTCCACCATTTGGTCACCACTTGGTCCGGGAGACATCTCCCGTCACGCAGGGTGCAGTTGCGCCTCCACAAATCTCCAGTATCATCTTTTGATACTGGTAATGGCTCAAAAGGGCCACCACTTACGGGCTATTCATGCCCGTGCCACCTCTTGGGTGGCTTAATCTTCATCAATCATCAATCAATCAAGTGCTGTCTCCTGATAGTTCCGTTCAACCGTACGTATAGAAGAAACACTTCCGTCTTCGCCTTACCTGCGACCCGGATGGGAGGACCACGCAGGACAATGGTCTGAGGAGCCCCCTGAAGGTCTCGCAGGTGAGGTGGAGGGTGACCAGGACGACGGAGGCCCAGCCCAGGTACCGCTGCACCACCGAGAACTCCCGCCACGTCAGGCTGGCCGACACGGAAGGCAGTGTAGTGATCCCCAAGATGGCCATCGCCGCCGTCAGGAGGGCACCTGAGGGTAACACGAGACTATGTAGCGACTCAAGGGGCCAGATTCACGAAGCAGTTACGCAAGCTCTTACGAACCCCCGGGCCAGATTCACGAAGCAGTTACTCAAGCTCTTACGAACCCCCGGGCCAGATTCACGAAGCAGTTACGCAAGCTCTTACGAACCCCCGGGCCAGATTCACGAAGCAGTTACTCAAGCTCTTACGAACCCCCGGGCCAGATTCACGAAGCAGTTACTCAAGCTCTTACGAACCTGTACATCTTTTCTCAATCTTTGGGGGCTTTGTTTACAATTATTAAACAGTTAATGAGTTCCGAAGCACCAGGAGGCTGTTTATAACAATAACAACAGTTGATTGGTAAGTTTTCATGCTTGTAAACTGTTTAATAAATGTAACCAAAGGCGTCAAAGATTGAGGAAAGGTGTACACGTTCGTAAGTACTTTCGTAATTGCTTCGTGAATCTGGCCCCAGGTACCTAATTGCTGCTAGGTCAACAGACACATCAGGTGAAGGGAAACGTGCCTAACCGTATTTGTCCTACCTTACCTTGAGGTTACCTTGAGGTGCTTCCGGGGCTTAGCGTCCCCGCGACCCGGTCGTCGACCAGGCCTCCTGGTTGCCGGACTGATCAACCAGGCTGTTGGACGCGGCTGCTTGCAGCCTGACGTACGATTCACAGCCTGGTTGATCAGGTATCCTTTGGAGGTGCTTATCCAGTTCTCTCTTGAACACTGTGAGGGGTTGGCCAGTTATGCCCCTTATGTGTATTCCTGCCCGGGAATTGAACGCGGGCTTCTCGATTGTAAACTAAGGACGTAAATCACTGTGCTATAGGTCAAAATCAGGCGAGGGCGTTACAAATGAACTATACAGATCCCGTCTCTCAATTTCTCCTCTGTAAAAAATGCAGTGGTTTGGCTTACCCAAGAGCGTCAGAACCTAAGCTACCTTCCTAACTTAACGGAGCCGATAATCATTAGGCCCGTTAAATATCAATATTTTGATGATTAATGGGCCCTAAATCACTGTAATTTTTATGCCAGGTTCGCTTGTGTAAAAAATGTAGTGGCCAGAGCACGGGTTGATGTCCCTAGTGCGCTAAATGTTCATATGAAGTAATTCAAGAAGCGCGGGTAAACGGCGGGCATACAAATTGTGGAGATTTATCTGTGACTCACCAGTAGCGAGGTAGGTATGCTGCCACCACACGTCCTCCATGCCTTTGCTAACTTGGACGAAGATTGCCATACACCCCTGACGGAGATACCAGCCAATTACTAATCACTCTAGAAAATAGACAAAGAGAAATTAATTGTCAAGAGTGAACCATTTATGTAAAGTGTGCATTTGTTAACGGTAAGGCCCACGAGTGTGGAGGGCCTTACTGCTAACCCAAAATTTAGGAAGCAGGCGGTTTGTAAAAGGTCCCCCACCCCCATTTGCCCTTATTATATTTTTCCAGCAAGATTTTAAAATTTAAGTTTTTTGCATTTACAGCTCCAGCGGGTTTAGGCGGTTCCATAGGTTTATAACCCGATGGGGAAAAAAGCAACTCCTGTTTTCAGTCCTGCATTGTGCCGTCTTGAGCTTGAACCCGTTGCTCCTTGTTTGTGTTACATCCGACCTTCTGAAGAAGTTGTCCGGATCGACATCGTCCAAATTCTTCAGTATTTTAAACGTTTCGATGAAATCCGCCTTGTCATGCCTGGTTTGCGATGTTGTTAGCCCTGTGGCCCTCAACTGTTCCTGACACGTGAATTGACTTAGTTCTGGAGTAATTTTTCCACCCGGTATTTTCTCTCCAAAGCGGCTGTCTTTCTGACGATGAGGTCTCCATGCTTGGATACAGTAATCCAAGTGATCTCCCACCAGATATTTACACAGTTGAATAACTACCTACTTTTCCTTAACGTCAAAATTATACCTTATTATTCCTAGGGTTTGGTTAGCTTTTTTTACTGCTGCTCCCACTTGTTGTGCAACTTCAGTGAATGGTGAATTTTGACTCCAAGATCCTTTTATTCATCAATCTATGGCAAGGTAATGTTATTAATTTGGTAGTTGGGACGTGGGGTTGTTATGCCCCACATGCAAGGTCTTGCATTTCTAAACATTAAAAGGCAGGAGAGCGTAGCTTACGACAGTTTAGCTCCGAGCAAGAGAGCCTAGCTCACATCAGGAGAACCTAGCTCCCAGCAGGAGAACCTAGCTCCCAGCAGGAGAACCTAGCTCCCAGCAGGAGAACCTAACTCCCAGCAGGAGACAGGCATCACTTACATGTGTGGCTCCCAGCAGGAGAGCCACAAGACACAACAGGAGAGCTAGAAGACCCAACAGGAGAGCCACAAGAACCAGCAGGAGAGTCACAAGACACAACAGGAGACAGCTAGCACTTACATGTGTGGCTCCCAGCAGGAGAGCCAGAAGTCCTAGCTGCTTGCGAGCCTTGAGCCAGGCGTCGAGCCAGTCAGGGAACTGAGAGTACTTAGTTCCTCTCCAGAGCTGTAGGTAGGCGGCCATCATCCCTGCAAGACACACACACGTCACACACATCTTCACTGCTCTCCTTCCCCCGCCCTCCCATTTTCCTCTCCCTCTCACACACACACAGTTACCTGGGATGTAGCAGAGCAGGAGGAGAAGGCAGCCGGTGAAGGCTAGAGTGACTTCAGTGTTTTTGAAGGGCAGTCTGTGGAACCTTTGCCAGTTCCAGGGCGCTGCGCTCGTCAGGTTGGGGCAGATCTGGATCCTGTTGGCCAAGTTAAAGGTATTCTGTATTCTATATGATATTCCTGCCACCTTCCTGGGCCTTTCTCGCTACCCTGCCACCTGCCTGCATGGGCAGGGACGCTACCCTGCCTGACCTCAACCCTCCCTGGGTTATACCTACCCTGGGCTCTACCCACCCAGGGCTCTACCCACCCAGGGCTCTACCCACCCTGGGCTCTACCCACCCTGGGCTCTACCCACCCTGGGCTCTACCCTCCCTGGGCTCTATACACCCTGGGCTCTATACACCCTGGGCTCTACCCACCCTGGGCGCTACCCACCCTGGGCTCTACCCTCCTTGGGCTCTACCCACCCTGGGCTCTACCCTCCCTGGGCTCTACCCTCCCTGGGCTCTACCCTCCCTGGGCTCTACCCACCCTGGGCTCTACCCACCCTGGGCTCTACCCACCCTGGGCTCTACCCACCCTGGGCTCTACCCACCCTGGGCTCTACCCACCCTGGGCTCTACTCTCCCTGGGCTCTACCCTCCCTGGGCTCTACCCACCCTGGGCTCTACCCACCCTGGGCTCTACCCACCCTGGGCTCTACCCTCCCTGGGCTCTATCCACCCAGGGCTCTACCCACCCAGGGCTCTACCCTCCCTGGGCTCTACCCATCCAGGGCTCTACCCTCCCTGGGCTCTACCCACCCTGGGCTCTACCCACCCTGGGCTCTACCCACCCAGGACTCTAGCCACCCTGGGTTCTACCCACCCTGGGTTCTACCCTCCCTGGGTTCTACCCTCCCTGGGCTCTACCCACCCTGGGCTCTACCCACCCTGGGCTCTACCCACCCTGGGCTCTACCCACCCTGGGCTCTACCCACCCTGGGCTCTACCCACCCAGGGTTCTACCCACCCTGGGTTCTACCCACCCTGGGCGCTACCTTCCCTGGCCTCTACCCACCCTGGGCTCTACCCACCCTGGGCTCTACCCTCCCTGGGCTCTATCCACCCTGGGCTCTATCCACCCTGGGCTCTACCCACCCTGGGCGCTACCCACCTTGGGCTCTACCCTCCTTGGGCTCTACCCACCCTGGGCTCTAACCTCCCTGGGTTCTACCCACCCTGGGTTCTACCCTCCCTGGGCTCTATCCACCCTGGGCTCTACCCACCCTGGGCGCTACCCACCCTGGGCTCTACCCTCCCTGGGCTCTACCCACCCTGGGCTCTACCCACCCTTGGCGCTACCCACCCTGGGCTCTACCCACCCTGGGCTCTACCCTCCCTGGGCTCTACCCACCCTGGGCTCTACCCACCCTGGGCTCTACCCACCCTGGGCTCTACCCACCCTGGGCTCTACCCACCCTGGGCTCTACCCACCCTGGGCTCTACCCACCCTGGGCTCCACCCACCCTGGGCTCCACCCACCCTGGGCTCTACCCACCCTGGGCTCCACCCACCCTGGGCGCTACACTCCCTGGGCTCTACCCACCCTGGGCTCCACCCACCCTGGGCGCTACCCTCCCTGGGCTCTACCCACCCTGGGCTCTACCCACCCTGGGCTCTACCTTCCCTGGCCTCTACCTACCCTGGGCTCCACCCACCCTGGCCTCTACCTACCCTGGGCTCTACCCACCCTGGGCTCCACCTACCCTGGGCTCTACCCACCCTGGGCTCTACCCACCCTGGCCTCTACCCACCCTGGGCTCGACCCACCCTGAGCTCACCCACCCTGGGCTTTACCCACCCTGGGCTCTACCTACCCTGGCCTCTACCCACCCTGGGCTCTACCCACCCTGGGCTCTACCTACCCTGGCCTCTACCCACCCTGGGCTCCACCCACCCTGGGCTCTACCCTCCCTGGCCTCTACCCACCCTGGGCTCTACCCACCCTGGGCTCTACCCACCCTGGGCTCTACCCTCCCTGGCCTCTACCTATCCGGGGCTCTACCCACCCTGGGCTCTACCCTCCCTGGCCTCTACCCACCCTGGGCTCTACCCACCCTGGGCTCTACCCACCCTGGGCTCTACCTATCCTGGGCTCTACCCACCCTGGGCTCTACCCTCCCTGGCCTCTACCCACCCTGGGCTCTACCCACCCTGGGCTCTACCCACCCTGGGCTCTACCCACCCTGGGCTCTACCTACCCTGGGCTCTACCCACCCTGGGCTCTACCCACCCTGGGCTCTACCCACCCTGGGCTCCACCCACCCTGGGCTCTACCCACCCTGGGCTCCACTCACCTTGGGCTCTACCCACCCTGGCCTCTACCTATCCTGGGCTCTACCCACCCTGGGCTCTACCCACCCTGGGCTCTACCCACCCTGGGCTCTACCCACCCTGGGCTCCACCCACCCTGGGCTCTACCCACCCTGGGCTCCACTCACCTTGGGCTCTACCCACCCTGGCCTCTACCTATCCTGGGCTCTACCCACCCTGGGCTCCACCCACCCTGGGCTCCACCCACCCTGGGCTCCACCCACCCTGGGCTCCACCCACCCTGGGCTCCACCCACCCTGGGCTCCACCCACCCTGGGCTCTACCCATCCTGGGTCCACCCACCCTGGGTCCACCCACCCTGGGCTCTACCCACCCTGGGCTCTACCCACCCTGGGCTCTACCCACCCTGGGCTCCACCCACCCTGGGCTCTACCTATCCTGGGCTCTACCCACCCTGGGCTCCACCCACCCTGGGCTATACCCACCCTGGGCTCCACCCACCCTGGGCTCCACCCACCCTGGGCTCTACCCACCCTGGGCTCTACCCACCCTGGGCTCTACCCACCCTGGGCTCCACCCACCCTGGGCTCTACCCACCCTGGGCTCCACCCACCCTGGGCTCTACCCACCCTGGGCTCCACCCACCCTGGGCTCTACCCTCCCTGGCCTCTACCTATCCTGGGCTCTACCCACCCTGGGCTCTACCCACCCTGGCCTCTACCTATCCTGGGCTCTACCCACCCTGGGCTCTACTCATCCTGGGCTCCACCCACCCTGGGCTCTACCCTCCCTGGCCTCTACCTATCCTAGGCTCTACCCACCCTGGGCTCTACCCACCCTGGCCTCTACCTATCCTGGGCTCTACCCACCCTGGGCTTTACCCACCCTGGGCTCTACCCACCCTGGGCTCTACCCACCCTGGGCTCCACCCACCCTGGGCTCCACCCACCCTGGGCTCCACCCACCCTGGGCTCCACCCACCCTGGGCTCTACCCACCCTGGGCTCCACCCACCCTGGGCTCCACCCACCCTGGGCTCCACCCACCCTGGGCTCCACCCACCCTGGGCTCCACTCACCCTGGGCTCTACCCACCCTGGGTTCCACTCACCCTGGGCTCTACCCACCCTGCCCTCTACTTATCCTGGGCTCTACCCACCCTGGGCTCTACCCACCCTGGGCTCTACCCACCCTGGGCTCTACCCTCCCTGGGCTCCACCCACCCTGGGCTCTACCCACCCTGGGCTCTACCCACCCTGGGCTCTACCCACCCTGGGCTCCACCCACCCTGGGCTCTACCCACCCTGGCCTCTACCTATCCTGGGCTCTACCCACCCTGGGCTCTACCCACCCTGGGCTCCACCCACCCTGGGCTCTACCCACCCTGGGCTCCACCCCACCCTGGGCTCTACCCACCCTGGGCTCCACCCACCCTGGGCTCTACCCACCCTGGGCTCCACCCACCCTGGGCTCTACCCACCCTGGGCTCTACCCACCCTGGGCTCCACTCACCCTGGGCTCTACCCACCCTGGCCTCTACCTATCCTGGGCTCTACCCACCCTGGGCTCTACCCACCCTGGGCTCTACCCACCCTGGGCTCTACCCACCCTGGCCTCTACCTATCCTGGGCTCTACCCACCCTGGGCTCTACCCACCCTGGGCTCCACCCACCCTGGGCTCTACCCACCCTGGGCTCTACCCACCCTGGGCTCTACCCACCCTGGGCTCCACCCACCCTGGGCTCTACCCACCCTGGGCTCCACCCACCCTGGGCTCTACCCACCCTGGGCTCCACCCACCCTGGGCTCTACCCACCCTGGGCTCTACCCACCCTGGGCTCTACCCACCCTGGGCTCTACCCACCCTGGGCTCCACCCCACCCTGGGCTCTACCCACCCTGGGCTCCACCCACCCTGGGCTCTACCCACCCTGGGCTCCACCCACCCTGGGCTCTACCCACCCTGGGCTCTACCCACCCTGGGCTCTACCCACCCTGGGCTCTACCCACCCTGGCCTCTACCTATCCTGGGCTCTACCCACCCTGGGCTCCACCCACCCTGGGCTCTACCCACCCTGGGCTCCACCCACCCTGGGCTCTACCCTCCCTGGCCTCTACACCTGCCTCACCGGAAGAGCTGGAGGAGCCAAAACAGGACGAAGATGATGCCTGTGACGATGGCGGCCAGTTTCCACTCGGGGAAGAAGGAGAGAGGGATGTCTTCGAGGGCGCGGGCGTTCTTCAGGCCGCCCATGTCCACGGGCGCCAGGCCCATGTCCCTCACCAGTGCCATCACCCGTGTCCTTGCTGGTGTAGTGCCACCACACACTGGCACCTGTAACATGACAACGCTGCATGAAACTTCTGCAGCACCTCCACACATTAATATATGGTCCCTCAAGTGGCTACGAGAGTTCAACTCTAGCAAGTGCACGGTAATGAGGCTGGCTACGGGGACTCAGAGGCCGGACATAATGTGTCACATGGGAGAGGAAAGCCTACTGGACTCGGACAGAGAAATTTGAATGGTTAAGAAGTGAAGTTGTGGAGGCAGAATCCATACACAGCTGTAAATGTTGATATGATAAGAGCCCAATAGGCTTTGGAACCCATACACCAGTCGATTAGAATTGAAAGGCGGGACCCTCTGTTACCATGGAGATCTCTGTTACCATGGAGGTCTCCCCCCCTCCCTCTGTTACCATCTAGATCTCTGTTCCTCTCTCTGTTACCATGGAGGTCTCCCCCCCTCCCTCTGTTACCATGGAGATCTCTGTTCCTCCCTCTGTTACCATGGAGGTCTCCCCCCTCCCTCTGTTACCATGGAGGTCTCCCCCCCTTCCTCTGTTACCATGGAGATCTCTGTTCCTCTCTCTGTTAGCATGGAGGTCTCCCCCTCCCTCTGTTACCATGGAGATCTCCTCCCCTCCCTCTGTTACCATGGAGATCTCTGTTCCTCCCTCTGTTACCATGGAGGTCTCCCCCCTCCCTCTGTTACCATGGAGATCTCCCCTCCTCCCTCTGTTACCATGGAGATGTGCTCCTCACCTGTCTGCCGGCGTAGAGGTCTCTCCTCTGGAGGACGTAAGCAGACATAGTGTTGAGGGCCTTCACCACCTGGGCCTCTGGCAGCAGCTCCTGCAGCTTCTCTGCCATACTTGGTCCATCCGAGGGGTCGTCCGGGGACCTGTGGGCAGTATGGCCGGTCGTTACACGTGTTTGGTAATGGTAATGTTCGGTCAGGTGGTCCATCCGAGGCCTAACACACACCATAGACTACCTCACCTACAGTGAACGGTCTAACACACACCATAGACTACCTCACCTACAGTGGACGGTCTAACACACACACGATGTCTACCTCTACGGTCTAACACACACCATAGACTACCTCACCTACAGTGGACGGTCTAACACACACACTATAGTCTACCTCACCTACAGTGGACGGTCTAACACACACCATAGACTACCTCACCTACAGTGGACGGTCTAACACACACACCATAGACTACCTCACCTACAGTGGACGTCAGTTTAATCCTGCAGTTATTATGACTAAAAGACCCAATGCAGGTAAGCTGAGAAATTGAAATTTAAATAAGTTTATTGAGGCAAAATACATACAAAGGGATGAGGTAGCTCCAGCTATTCTCACCCCGTTCAGTACATCGTGTTAATACATACATATAAACACATCACAAACAATAAACATATTACCAAACATTCTGAGAGATAAACATACATTTCCTCCTTCACAAGTAGTATGGTATCAGACGTACACACAAATACTTTTATGACCTAGGTATACTGTATAGACAATTTGCAAGAGACATGCAGATAATTCAAAAAAAAAAATTACAGTCTTGGTGCAAAATTCTTATATCTCAAGAATATCATCAACCTTTCCGTTGTGACACATCAGGCTATTTGTTCAGGAACAGTCCTTATCTCAGTGTTTCTATATACATTAATCGTCTAGCCCCAAAGTAGCGATACTTCAACAGATCTCGTCTTTTGTGTAGTTAATTCAGTCTTTACTTTACCCACTGTGAGAGGTTGTGTTCGCTGGAGCTCCGATTGTAGTAACATTATTATAGCAATAATGGAAGGATTAGTGAAGGAATTGATGAATCTAGTTGGAACTCTGAGAGCAGAGATGGATTCCCTACGAGAGGAGATACGACAGCTGAAACATCGGGAAGAAACGAAGGAGGAGACCAATATTAATAAGACCTCGTCGTGGAAAGTCGTTAAGGACAGGGGTCTTAAGAAGACCTTGACAAGGCCGCCTACAGACGCCCTAAGGACAGCAAATTCATTTGCCGTGTTGGAGGACGAGTGCTGTGGTGAGCCTGCAGTTCACTCGGAACGGAAATCAGCGAGGAGCGGCGGAGCGCGGGCCCCTCTGAGTGTTCAGAAAGTTAAAGAGGTACCGAAGCCAATTTTGGTTGTGGGAGATTCCCAGGTGAGGTATTTAGACAGGACGTTTTGTGCCAGAGATAGGGGGAACAGGTTAAGGGTCTGCTATCCGGGAGCTGGAATTGGAGATATTGTTGACATCATGAAAGATATTATGACGGGAAATGGGAACAACCCCATTATTTTTTTTTTTTTTTTTTTTTGAGATATATACAAGAGTTGTTACATTCTTGTACAGCCACTAGTACGCGTAGCGTTTCGGGCAAGTCCCTGGAATACGATTCCCTGCCGCGAAGAATCGTTTTTTCATCCAAGTACACATTTTACTGTTGCGTTAAACAGAGGCTACAGTTAAGGAATTGCGCCCAGTAAATCCTCCCCGGCCAGGATACGAACCCATGACATAGCGCTCGCGGAACGCCAGGCGAGTGTCTTACCACTACACCACGGAGACTGCCATTATTAGACTAGACGGAGACTAATTATTTGTATTAGTGCAGGGGTAATGATGTTGGAAGAGTTAGGAGTGAGGAACTGATACAGAAATTTAACAAAGCCATAGAATTAGTTAGGAGCAAGGGAGGAATCCCGATCATATGTGACATTCTTCCAAAAAAGAGCGTTGGGAATGAATGGATGTCGAGGGCACTTGGTGTCAATTGCCGGCTGGAAAGATATTGCAAATCAAATGCAATATCTTTCATAGACAACTGGGAACACTTCTATGGAAAAAATGAAATGTATGCTCGTGATGGGGTGCATCTATCGAGGGCTGGGGTTGTTGCTGTTGCGAACTCGTTGGAACCAGTGGTTAGAGGCATTTGTGTGGGTTTAAACTGTTAGTAGATAGTGGTATGGGAATTGATAGGGAGAAAGGAGGTAATAAAAGTATGTGTTTGTTGGAGAAACAAATTGGCAAAATAATCAGGGAAAGAGAAGGGCCTCAAAATAACAATTCACTTAGGGTATATTACACTAACAGTAGAAGTCTAAGAAACAAAATAAACGAGTTAAATGCTCTTGTCTGTACAGAAGAAATAGATATTATTGCACTTACCGAAACGTGGATGAATGTAGAAAATAGAGAACTATTAGCTGAATATCAAATAAATGGATTTAAAATATTTCACACAGATAGATATATTAGACGAGGAGGGGGAGTAGCCATATATGTTAGGGACAATTTGAAATGTAGTCTCAAAGAGGGAATCAAAACTGAGCCACACACAGAAACTATTTGGATAGAATTAAACGAAAAAGCAAATAATATTATAATAGGAGTTATATATAGGCCACCAAATTTAGATAGAATGGAAGCAAAGCATCTATGGGATGAAATATCTAGAGCATCTAGATCTAACAGTATTTATGTCATGGGTGACTTTAATTTTAGTGGAATAAACTGGGTGAACAAAACAGGAAATAATGAAGCAGAAAACTTTCTAGAATTAATTGACGATTGCTTTCTTACGCAACACATTAAGGAACCAACGCGGGGAAATAATATTTTAGATTTAGTGTTAACTAACAGGGAAACACAAATTAAGGACATGGAAAGAGGGAGTGAGCTAGGGAACAGTGATCACAAAGAAATCAGATTTAGCATAGAATGGAATAGACCTGTAGGAGAAAATTCTGTTACAGTGCCTGATTTTCGAAAAGCTGATTTCAATAGCCTAAGATTTTTTTGGGTCAAATAGATTGGAATGTCTTGGGGATGGGGTGTGGGCCGGTCTTAAAGCTAGACGTGAACCCAGCGATAGGTGACGTAAAAAGGGATTTCGATGTGGATTCAAAATATAACCTTTTTAAAAATATTCTAAACAAAGCCAAGGAACGTAGTATACCATATAAATTGAATAGATCGAATACTAATTATCCAAAGTGGATAACAAATGATCTGAAAAACCTTATAGATAAAAAGAGAGCGTGGTACAAAAGGATTAAGAATGGGGAAGTCAGTTTAGAACAGGAATTCGTACAACTGGTTAGAAATGTTAAAAAAGAGATAAGGAAAGCAAAAAGAAACTATGAAGTTCGCATAGCAGAGCAAGCAAAGACAAATCCTAAAGTTTTTTTTTCAGTTATATCGAACTAAGACTAGGGAAAGGATAGGTCCATTAAAATCTGAGACAGGTCAAATAACACGGATAATGACGAGGAGATGAGTAGTATTTTTAATAAATATTTTATATCTGTATTTACTAAAGAGGAACTTAACAATATGCCTTCAGCCGAACAAGTATATGTGGGTGGGGATGAGGACAGGTTGACTAGTTTAGCAGTTACCAGGGAGGATGTTCTTAAACAAATAGTAAAACTCAAACCAAGCAAATCCCCAGGGCCGGATGAAGTGTTTGCCAGGGTGCTTAAAGAATGCAAAGAGGAGCTTTCCGAGCCACAGTCTACCATATTTAATAAATCAATAGAGTTAGGTAGAGTGCCAGAGTCATGGAAGGTAGCTAATGTGGTACCAATTTTTAAGAAAGGAGATAGATCACTTGCGTCAAACTATCGGCCAATTAGCCTAACGTCTATTGTGGGAAAGTTACTTGAATCGATAATTGCAAATAAAATTCGTCTTCATCTTGAAAAACACAAATTAATAAATGAGTCGCAACATGGTTTTACAAATGGCCGTTCATGTTTAACAAATTTGCTAACTTTTTATTCCAGCATAGTTGAGGCAGTTGATAGTGGTAAGGATTGTGATGTTGTGTACCTTGACTTTAGCAAAGCTTTTGATACGGTGCCACATGAAAGACTAATTAAAAAAATAGAAGCTCATGGTATTGGGGGTGCTATATTAAGTTGGATTAGGTCATGGCTATTCCAAAGGAAACAGAGAGTTAGTATAAATGGGGTTAAGTCAGAGTGGGAAAATGTTGTAAGTGGAGTGCCTCAAGGCTCTGTCCTGGGACCTCTGTTGTTTATAATATATATAAATGATTTAGATTCAGGTTTGAGTAGCAACATCTGCAAATTTGCCGATGATACAAAAATCGGTAGGGAAATTAACACGGAAGAAGACTCACTATCACTTCAAGTTGATCTAAATAGGGTTGAAATAGTCAAAAGATTGGCAGATGCAGTTTAATGCTGATAAATGTAAAGTTCTGAGGCTAGGTAATGATGATAGAGTTACAAGATACGAGCTTGATGGTGTTGAGATTGCGAAGTCGGATTCACTAGAATGTGAAGGGACGACGACGTTTTGGTCCGTCCTGGACCATTCTCAAGTCGATTGTGATGAATTGATTGATGAAGATTAAGCCACCCAAGAGGTGGCACGGGCATGAATAGCCCGTAAGTGGTGGCCCTTTTGAGCCATTACCAGTATCAAAAGATGATACTGGAGATCTGTGGAGGCGCAACTGCACCCTGTGTGACGGGAGATGTCTCCCGGACCAAATGGTGTGTGCTATTCGATTGATTGATTGATAAAGATTAAGCCACCCAAGAGGTGGCACGGGCATGAATAGCCCGTAAGTGGTACAATTTTTTTTTTCAGTATTCTGAGGTTGCATTTAACCATCAAGCTGTTATCGCGGGGGAGGATACTGCTTCACAGTCTTTATGAGGGTGTCCAGCTGCTGGACACCTTTGTTGACCAGGAGAGTGGCTGTGTTGATGGCTTCAGGGCGGCCACTGCAAGATTCAGGAACTCTTAAAGCTCTTCTAAGGTCGTTGGTTGCTTCACATTCCAAAAGATAGTGAAGTAATGGCTTTTCTGTGACAGTTTAGCAGAAGATGCACTCTCTCTGT